TGCAAGATGTATTTGAGTCTCTTTGATGTACAGATGTATTATTTTTGACTTTTTAAAGTCGGTATATAAAGAAAAACAATCTTTTAAGTCCTTCTCTTAGTTCCTTTTCTATGGGTAGAAACACACATTCCATTTATACAGGAGTTGCAATTGTTTGAAATTCTTTCTAAATAAAGGGATAACTTGGTAGAAGACTGAATGCATTTGTGGGGTGTACTGAAATCCTTGTGGATCTTTAATTCTCTCTTTTGCAAGCTAAAGTCTTTCCCATACTTCACTAAGTATCAAAAACTAAAGAATTTTTTGGTGGTCCTTCTTTCCTGTGAGAAAATCTATATTCAAATGCCTACAGTCTGGGTGCTCCTCATAAGAAGGAAAGAATGACAAGAGAAAAATCTTAAAATGAAATCATAGAATAAAAAGCATATACTTATATGAATTTATAAACTATACACTTTCTCAAAATTAAGACCGTAAGATTATTATTAGTATCATGATTGATCAATATCATCTCCTTTTTACCTAGATTATTTTTGTTTTTGGGTCACACCTGGTTGTGATCTGAACTCCTGGCTCTGCTCAGGGGGACCATGTGTGATGCCAGAGATCAAATCCAGGTTGGTTTAGGCAAGTGCTTTACTGCTATACTATTACAATGGCCCCCAAACAGTTTTTGAAATAGTATCAGTTGACAGTGTACTTAAAAAATTCTAAGAGCAATTTTACAAAAGTATCAGCATTGATTAATATTTGTGGTGAGATAAAAATACTAACTTGTTATGCCAATTTAAAGAAAGATTAGGAATTAATTTTTCACCTTATTTCAATATAGCAGGTATAACAAGATTCTGACTTGAACTTATTTACATGTTTTTCTTACATCATAATTCAGAGTTAAGTATATTTCTAGGCATAAAATTTCAGTTTCGTTGATGTCAGAGGAAACAAAAACATAAAACAAAACGGAGTGGAACTCTTTGTTGTCATAAAGCACACATGGTGTTTTATGCTTGCAAAAAATCTTGACTGTGTTTTCATCTAAAATCAGTAGCACATCAAAGATCCCATGATTCACTTGACTTGGATTAGAGTCTGATCACTCCCTAATTGCTTCCTTTCTTACTTTTATAGCCTCTTCATTCTATGCCTCTTTAATTTCATTTATTGCTTCATCCTTGTGTCCTTCAGCTGTTTCTTCATGACCACAACTAAATACAGTATGTTAACAGACATAGGTATCTATGTAAATGAAAATCAATGTGTTTATCATTTCTGCACCACTTCTTTTTTTTTTTTAATTTTTTTTTGTTTCTTTCTTTTTTTTTTTTAAACAGTTGTAGATTTACAATTTTTTGTGCTTGGGTTTCGATTATACAATGATCAGATACCCATCCCTCCACCAGTGCCCATTTTCCACCACCATGGATAATATCCCTCCCAACCCCATCCCCCCATCCCCCTCTGTCTCTGTGGCAGGGCAATCCCCTGTGTTCTCTCTCTCCTTTTGGGTGTTGTGGTTTGCAAAAGAGGCATTGAGTGGCAAACATGTTCGGTCCATAGTCTACTTTTGACATGCATCTCCCCTCCTGGGAGGATCCTCCAAACACCCTTTATTTGTCTGCACCACTTCTTATTGCTTACATTGGGTGTTTTAAGTACAGTTTATTTAAATGCTACCAACATTTCATTCTTGTCTGGAAGTATAATGATCTTCTTGGCTCCATGCCCCCTGCATCCCTCTAACATTCACAGCTATGGCCACTTAGCCCCATCTGGAGGTTCGGCCTTTTTCCATGTTTTGGAACTAATCTTATTTTTGGAAGAGTGGGGGAGAGTAAAATGCCCTACCCAAAGGAAAACTTATTCAGCACCCAGAGATTATTGTTGCTACTTTCATTCTGACCTAGTAATTTATCTCTGGGATTTAGGTTCCTGTCTCAGTCCTTTCTAACTAAGGCTATTTGGCTTTCCATATAAGTTGTTATAGGTGGATATCTTTCCTAGTATCAGTCCCCAGTTAATTTTCCTCATAATATCCAATACTATGATGGGTGAAATTCTATTTTACCCTTATCCTTTGCAGCTGAATTCATTTTCCTGATTTCTAGCTTTCATGGCTGAACCCTATAACCTATAGGAGTCTCTCTAATTCCATTAATAAAGTTCATATTTCATTTTGTCACCTGCTGTCCTAGACCTGAACTGTTGCTGTAATCCCGGAATGACACTGCTTGAACAGTTTCCCACTGTTTGCTCTTATCACCAGCTCCAATCTTGCACCTCATGAAACACTAAGTTCCAGTGTTCTAGCTGCCTGGAATCTGGTCAACTCGTTACTTCATCTTGTTACTTTTCTTTCTTCTTTTTTTTTTTTTATGGAATCACTGTGAGATACAGATACAAAGTTTTCATTTTGAGTTTCAGTCAATCATCGAACACCCATTCCTCCACCAGTGCACATACTCTACCACAATATCCCAAGTATACCCCCTGCTACTCTTTACAACCCTCCCTCTGCCTCTATGGTAGGTAGACAATTTCCCCCACACTCTCTCTCTACTTTTGGGTATTACAGTTTTCAATATAGATACTGAGAGTCTATCACATTTGTTTCTTTATCTAATTTCAGCATACATCTCCCATCCTGAACGATCCCTCTAACCATCATTGTTTTAGTAATCCCTTCTCTATCCCAGCTGTCTTCTCCCCCAGCTCATGAGACAAGCTTCCAACTATAGAGCAATATTCCTGGCCCTTGTGTCTACTGTCCTTGGGTATTAGTCTCATGTTATTTTATATTTCACAAATGAGTGCAGTCATTCTATGCCAGTCCCTCTCTTTCTGACTCATTTCACTTAGCATGATACTTTGCATGACCATCCCCTTATATGAAAATTTCATAACTTCATCTTTCCTAACAGCTCCGTAGTATTCCATTTTGTAGATGTACCAAAGTTTCTTTAACCAGTTGTCTGTACTCAGGCACACAGCCCTAATTATTAGGGAGATGCAAATCAAAACAACAATGTGATATCATCTTACTTTTCTTTATAGGAAAGAAATACTATATTTATTGCATCTATGTTTAAACAGTTATGTTTAGACTAGGAGATAAATTGTACCTCATATCTTCTTCTTGGTCCTGTCATATAAATACTTCAAAACAGTTTCCTCGGTGAAAAGTGAAATGATAGTAAAATCTACCTTGCGGATTATTTTGAAGATGGGGTTGGGGAGGGAATGCACATTATTGACCAAGCCCAGAATTACCAACCAGGCTTTTTAGTACTGGTATTAATGTTTTTTTTGGGGGGGGGGTCACACCTGCAATGCTCAGCGCTTACTCCTGGCTCCGCACTCAGAAATTACCCCTGGTAGTGGTCAGAGGACCTTATGGGATGCTGGGAATCGAACTTGTGTCGGTCGCTTGCAAGGCAAATGCCCTACCCATTGTGTTATCGATCTAGCTCCTAAGAGTTGGCTTTAATATATCATTTCTTAAATCCTTGAAAAGTGGAACTATGCCACTTAAGAGTGATCATTAAATATAATGAAACCCAGAAAAACAAAAATTAGGAATCTGGTGACATATTCTAAATAGATTGAGTGACTTTAAGATGATCAACAACTTTAAAAATAAAATTCAGCTACAGATGCAGTCTTCTGCAAGTATTGAAAATGCAATATTTTAAGGATATATTTTTATCAGTATTTCATTAAGCAATACAATTCTGCAGGAGAAAGAAGGATTTGAATCAGTCATTTATTTTAAAGAGATATCTTTATAGCCATTTTCAGAAGTTTTAGAAAATAAAATATTGCTTTCAAATTCTATTTTATTAAATTTTGGGTGAAAGTAAAGTACTGGTGTGTGTGAAAAACTCCTAAGGTAATTATAACAATCAACCATCTTCGAAAGGTATAATTTAATCTATTGGTAAGATGCCCAGGATGTTCTTGAGGAAATAATGCTTATTTACATTGAAAGGGTCAACATTACATTGAGTCTCTCTGAATTAAGTTATAGCTGGTCGTTTATGGAAATGTTTTATATCTATGGAAACTCTACTGAAGTCTCCTTTTGTTAATGAGAAGTTATTTCAGAGAGAAGAGCAGGTCAAGAGCAGTGTTTACCTATAATAAATTATTTACTCTAAAAACTCCAATTTGCTCATTTGGAATCCTCAACTTAATTGTATTCAAAACAGTTTTTCAACCCTGCCCACCAGTCCACAAAGTTACCACCAACAAAATTACAGCTGTAGTTTTAAACAAATTAAGTTCTATATAAAATCATAGTGGCCAAAATTTGCTGTCTTTTAGATCAGTATTTTTCAGCCCGTTGTCATGGAGCTTTCTGTGGGTCACCAGAATATTCCCAGGGGGTCACAGGTAAAATTCATGGAAATGTGAGTTCGAGGGATAAAAGTAGGCTACTAATTGGTAGGACAGGAGGATTTAAGAAGAAAACAAGTTTGGAAGTGGGCCACAGTTATGTAAATATTGATAAATAGATGATAGGCTATTCCATAATTAAAAGTTAAAAGGACCAGCTATTTAGTTGAAAGGAGGTAAAAGTAAAGAGAAAGAAGAGAAAAAGACAAACTTAACTATTACAACACAAAAATATTCTTTTGAACTTTGGGTCCCTCTCTTGGGTATGAGTACCTTGAGAATTCATCTGGAGATCAATTAAATGATGAATAGCACTAATTATTTTCTTAGCATATTTTTATAGATTTTTTTTTGTAGTGACTGGGTGAAAGAAGATAACCCTAGAGAACTTTAAGGATCATTCTTGTGCCTCTAACTTTCTCACTCAGGTACTCATGTACAAACTCACATGACATGTGTGCACCTACCCAGATGAGCCATTTTAGAAAGCAGAGTCACATTTTAGTTGATTGTTTTTTAATCATGTTTCTAGAGAAAGAGTTAAATAAAAAAATAAATAAATAATGACTGAGTATTTTACTTAAAAGAATATAAATCTATGGTACCAGACATCCTCGGCATCTTCATCGCATTCTGCACCAAACTGGCAAATATCACAGGTGGATGTCTCCTTTTGACTTGTTTCTCCTGAACCTTCATGAACTGTATGAAAGAAAGAATTTTTTTAATTTAGGTAAGTGCATAATGTTAAGATTTTCTGTATCAAAGCTGCTATTTTTTCAATCGACTTGCTTGTTTTTTTTTTGGCGGAGGGTGGTCTTCATAAAAGTATCATATTTAACACTGCTCCTATCCTCAAACTTAAGAAAAGCCCTAGCAATAAAATAAACTTTTAAAAATAATTTTTATTAATCACTGTGAGGTACAGTTACAGACTTACAAACTTTCATGCTTGCGTTTCAATCATACAATGATTGAGTCCCAGCCGTCCACCATTGCCCATTTTCAACCCCAATGGTCCCATATCCCTCCCACCACCCCATCCCGTCCTCCCCACCCAACCCTGCCTCTGTGACAGGGAATTCCCTTTTACTCTCTCTCATCTTTTGGGTGTTGTGGTTTGCAATAGAGGTATTAAGTGGCCATCAAGTTCAGTTGATAGTCTACTTTCAGCACATATCTCCCATCCCTACCGGGCCCTCCTAGCACTCTTTACTTGGTGGTCCCTTTTCTATCTGAGCTGCCTTTACCCCAGCATGTGAGGCTGGCTTCTAAGATGTGGACTAATTCTCCTGATACTTATCTCTACTATTCTTGGGTATTAGTCATCCATTCTAAGAACAGATACTTTTGATTGAATATTTTTTCTTAAGAATGAACAAGAGCGTTTACTGGATTTATCCAGTTTGCTTGACTAATAAATAGGTCACATGAAATATTTAAAAGGATTTAGATTGTTGTTTGCCTAAAAGAAAGATATAGTATCTACTTTAAAAAATATTAAATTCATGGGGGCTGGAGCCAGAGCACAGCTGGTAGGGCATTTGCCTTGAATGCAGCCAACATGGCTGACATGGGTTCGATTTCCAGCATCCCCTATGGTCCCCTGTGTACCGTCAGGAGTGGTTCCTGAGTGCATGAACCAGAAGTAACCCCTGACCATCGCTGGGTGTGACCCATAAAAGCAAAAAAAAAAAATTACATTTATCAGTATTACTCCTAAATTACAGTATTTTTTTTTATACAAATAAACTTTTACTTGAAAAAAAACTAGGATTTTGCTTCATCTTAATGGTAGAGCATTTTTTTTTAACATGCAAGAGTCCTAGGTTTAATTACTAGCACACACTAAACCATTTAAATGGGCAGCATTGACTTATTAGAATTGCCTTCTTATTTTTTCCTTATTAGATATTAAGTTCTTCAAAGAAGAAATATTTTAACCTTAAACTTTTATAAAATAACTGTCAATTTACATACATTCTAATTTTTTGACTCTTACAGAAATATTGCAGATAATACTACCATAGTGACTTATCTTGTGGTATGAACATATAAACATCTAACAGTATGTGATCAATAAGATATGTGCCAATGATGATGAATACTACAATTTTTCTCTCCTTTAGACTGAAAGTATAAAAAGCAGAATATTAAATTCCAGAATATTAAATTCTACAGTCCAATTATGTAATTAATCTTTTAAAATCAGGGAGATGTAGAATAAATCAAGGTATACTTTCTAGTATTTCTAGAGTTCAAGGAATAAAAATCTGTATAATAATTTTAACATGGTATATTAATACTTGCCCAATTAAAAAGTAGAAAGTTGAAGGTAGAAGGCAACCAATCATAAGGGGATATATGTATATGTATATCTATATCCATATATATACACATATATATACATATATATATACACACACACACACACACACGAACAAGGCTTAACCTTTAACACATTAGTAATCTCTTAAAGAAAGGCTTAATGGGTCCTGGGTAAATTACAACAATTTTCACACACTTTCTTGTAAGGAAATTTTATGGATCATTTTTAGCAGATTATTCATAACAAGTAATACAAAATAAATTATTTCAGTTATGCTTTGAGGGTAGGGTTTGAGGTTCAGGGTGAAAATATTCAAAATATGTTGGTGGAGAGGTGTAATGGTGGTGGAATTGGTGTTCGAATATTAAACGTAAGAAATTATTATGAAAATTATAAAAATAAATAAAATTTATAAAATAGTAGAAAGGTGAAGGCACCAGCAACTGATTTTAGACCAAATATTGGAATAACTGAACTACCTCAGTAACCTTATTTCGTAGGCATATAATATGCTTTAAAAATAGATGTTTAAATCATGTTTCCATTTAAAATTTATGCTTCTATTCAAGTTTATATATTTTTATAGAAAAGAATATAAGCAATGAATTATGGTATTGGCTCCCAGTTTTATCAAGCCTAATAAGATAATATTTTTATCAGATACAATTTACTTGGGAGGGGGATGTAGCTCAGTGGTAGAGCACATCTTGCATGTGTAAGGCTGTAGGTTCAATCTGACACCACAGAATAGAAAAACAAAAACAAAACAAAACAAAAACCACATCAACTCCCTCCTTCTATCTCCCGATCCAGGAATGGAGACTTTTTTCTGCTGAGGGTTATTTGGATATTTACAACATCATTCTCAATACAGACAGACAGGGTACAGGTAGCTCAACAGAAGCTCATGTGTCTATCCCATGAAGTACCAAAGTCAGATAATATGTCTTCCAGGACTTTATATGGCCTGTGTGCCTTATATCCTCATCCTTGCCACAGACCTTAGAATAAGAATAATAATTAAACACACACACAGTTCATTAGCATTTACCCTGAACCTAACAAACCCAACTTTTCTTATTTTACTATATTTTCTCGTAATTTCATCTTTGAAAAAATAGAGGTTTTTATCCCTGATTAAATCTCCTGCAATATGGTTAAGTGATTTTAAAAAATGTACTCCCTTCTACTCCCAACTCCCCTGAAAGTGACATGAATCCATGTCTAAGAGAGCTCTCTGTTTTATCGTTCTTTCAGGAAAGGTTGAAAGATTTATTTAAGACAACATATTATTCTTCCTCTGCTTAATTATTTGTATTTACATTAAAAAGTGCTCTGAGATAGACAAATGGGACTATCTTAAACTAAGAAGCTTCCGCACCTCAAAAGAAACAGTGACCAAAATACAAAGACAGCCTACAGAATGGGAAAGGATATTCACCAACTACACATCTGATAAGGGGTTAATTTCAAGGATATACAAAGTACTGGTTGAACTCCACAAGAAGAAAACATCCAACCCCATCGAAAAATGGGGCAAGGAAATGAACAGAAACTTTCGCAAAGAAGAAATCGGAATGGCAAAAAGGCACATGAGAAAATGCTCTACATCACTAATCATCAGAGAGATGCAGATCAAAACAACAATGAGATATCATTTCACACCACAGAGACTGACCCACATCCACAAGAACAAAAGCAACTGGTGCTGGCGCGGATGTGGTGAGAAAGGGACCCTCCTTCACTGCTGGTGGGAATGCCGGCTAGTCCAACCCTTTTGGAAAACCGTATGGACGATTCTCAAAAAATTAGAATTTGATCTGCCATTTGACCCAGCTATAGCACTCCTGGGAATATATCCCAGAGAGGCAAAAAGGTATAGTCGAAGTGACATCTGCAATTGTTTGTTCATTGCAGCACTCTTTACAATAGCCAGAATCTGGAAAATACCTGAGAGCCCGAGAACAGATGACTGGTTAAAGAAACTTTGGTACATTTACACAATGGAGTACTATGTAGCTGTTAGAAAAGATGAAGTTATGAAATTTACATACAAGTGGTACTACATGAAAGTATCATGTTAAGCGAAATGAGTCAGAAAGAGCGGGATAGACACAGAAAGATTGCATTCATCTGGGGAACATAAAGCAACAAAACGGGAGACTAACACCCAGGAATGGCTGAGATTAGTACCAGGAATTTTGCTCCATGACTTGAAGGCCAGCCACATGTGCTAGGTGAAAAGGAAGCTCAGATAGAGAAGAGAGTACCAAATAAAGGGTGTTGTGAGACACTCCCAGGGTGGGAGAAGCATGTTAAAAGTAGTCTATAGACCAAACATGACTGCCACTCAAGGCCTCTCTTGCAAAACACAGTACCCAAAAAAAGAGAGAGAGAACAAGGGGGAATGCCCTGCCACAGAGGCAGGGTGGAACAGGGGGCATGGGGGGTGGGAGGGATGCTGGGACCTGTGGTGTTGGAGGATGGGCACTGGTGGAGGGATGGGTACTTGATCATTGTATAACTGAAACCCAAGCACAAAAATTTATAAGTCTACAACTCTACCTCATGGTGTTTCACTAATAAAAAATAAAAATTAAAAATAATGCTCTGAACTGAACAGACCAACTTGAATTGCAAAAGCATTTATTGATGACATTGTTATAAATTTGGATGTCTTAAAACAAAAGGTGCACGTATTTAGAAAGATGGAATTTTAGACTGATGAAACACACAGCACTTATTATCCACTCTATTACTTTAATACAGGCAAGACCATTAGGATGGACCACAGGGATAAGAAGGAAGCTGGGGCTGCACCCCAAGGGAGACTGAACAGCTGAGGTCGGTCTCTTTATTACTTTCTTATTATTAATGCAACACAGAAGCTGCTAATGGAATAGAGTCTTTTAGTGTTAGCAAGATTAGCAACTTCCAGACTAAAACTTCTCATCACTCAGGAAACCTGCTAACTCAACGGTAAGATCGTTAATGAACACTTATAGTCACTTTGGGGCAGCCCCATTTTTCCCCCCAGTAGCGATCCTTGGTATGGGATCTACTGGAAGTAATCCATGGGATGAACTATGCTAATGCAGCACAGCTAATAGTACTATTTCTACTGGAGTCACATAACATTTCTATAAAAGGGTAGTTATGGGTTGAATTGTGATGTGCATAAATTCTCTATTGCAGAAAAGAAACAGTGGGAGCAGCAGGAACTAATACCTACATGAGTAAATAAGACAGAAGCAGCAGGGACAAAACCTACCTCAGAAAATGATCTGGGAGTATAATGACTTTGTATGAAATCATAGACAGTAGAAAATAAAGTTAAATCTTACCATGAGTTTTGCACAATGAATGAATGAAA